AGCCATTGTAATGGCTTTGCATCCTACGAGTATTACGCTAGAGAGCAGAGAGATCGAAATTGATCAGATTTGTCATCACTCGATTCAGTCAGATTTAGACGAGCAAAAGAGGCAAGCGTTGACCGAATTTCAGTCATGTCAGACCCGTTACCACTTACCAGACAGATAATAGTGTATCAGCTATTACAAAGTTCGACAAATTTATAAAAAATAATCCCTTGAAAAACAGTTCTTCTGATTGCCGTTGGCATTTTCAGCTGTTGTTATGTTGTGTGACAAACGCTGTAAAAGGTTTACGCACTACTACTATGAGCTGAAGTTCAAAGAGTTCGATTTTCTACCTCCAAGTGCAACTTCACATCAACTGTGCTGAATCAGTAATGGTAGCGCTTAGAAATTTGCTGCGCTAATCTATTTCCGATAATATGGCCAAATAAAAAAAATTAAGAAAAGCTCAAATGCTGTATAATGAGCTCTAAATAAAGTATCAAGCCATGCAGCTGCAACGTCAATCATCAACAGACAACAATCAATCAATTTAAAACAAATTCAGTGAAGCCTACAGCGTGTAGCAGCAATTCAACTTCTTATGTTAATAACGTTAAATAAAACAACGTGCGGAACTTTCAGTCTCTGTAGTATACGTCCAACGCGGCGAAGGTTATTTTGTTCAGCCTAGACAAATCCAGCTGTCTCAAGTCGACATCATCCCAGAGCTGCGGACTGCCGTCGGCACCGACGCCACTGAGACTACTCAAAACAAAAACCCGCATTCAAAAACTAAGCCTTGTTGAATTCATTACCAAATTTTGACATTCCCATCATGCCACATTTGTAGCACATTTGTAGCCAGTTGCTCTACCGATTGAGTCGTAGCTGGGAAGTGGTAATTCTCGTACATTAATCCGTACCGAGTCTCTCTACACGACAAAGCCATGCAGCTGCAACCTCAATCATCAACAACAACAACAGACAACAATCAATCAATTTAAAACAAATTCAGTGAAGCCTACAGCGTGTAGCAGCAATTCAACTTCTTATGTTAATAACGTTAAATAAAACAACGTGCGGAACGTTCAGTCTCTGTAGTATACGTCAAACGCGGCGAAGGTTATTTTGTTCAGCCTAGACAAATCCAGCTGTCGCAAGTCGACATCATCCCAACGCTGCGGACTGCCGTCGGAACCACGCCATTGAGCCTGATCAAAACACAAAAGCCCGCATTCAAAAATTATGCCTTATTGAATTGATTTTGACATTTCATCATGCCACATTTGTAGCCATACTCACATCTGGAAAAGAATGCGAATCCTCGACCACAGATCGGGATATGTCCAAGTCTGCACCCAGCGGGCATGCATGGCGGTGACCTTTTCCCACACCTGCTGCGTAACAGCCGGACAGTTGTTGTTGACCGCGGCTAAGAAGCGTTGGTACTGCTCGTCGGCGGTCTCCGTGCAGCGGAAGCGCAAAAACGGAATAATCACATCCAACCGTCGTTTAGTGTCATCCCCCAATCGCAAAAAATCATTCCGGCAGTGCCGCTACGTTTTCGTTGAAATGCCTGTACAGGAGAGATTTGTTGTCGGCTCCAACGGCTGCGGTGTAGTTGATCAGCAGCAACTGTTCACACGCGGTCATCCACTCGGACAGCCTGCGGCATTCAAACTGTCCACTCCGTTTAGTCGGTTGCAACTGCAGGAAGGAAGTACTCCACGACGAGTCGCTCTCGTACCCGTTTTTGGCGATGATCAGCGGCAGACGGATGCCATTCTTTTCCCGTACAACAACATCCCAAATCGCCTCAAATTTCCATGCGAAGCCCCTTCCATGTGGGTCACATCTCCGTCTGACATCCGGCGTTTTTCCTCTACTAAAGCCAACACTCGTGTTTCTTTGGAAACGATTCGCCGCAGCAACGTCGCCAGTTTATAGCTGTGGACAGGGTCTAAAGCAGAATATATCGAGCCATCCCAGTCCTCCGCTGCGAACAGGGAAGGAATGACAAAGATGATATGGCGATGGCGGATGTAGTCACGCGAAATCAGCCTCCACAACGCGCACACCCTGTAATTAGTTCTAACTAGCCCTTATGAGTCTTTTAGAGTATTAGCAAAGGGCTCCACAACAAACTTACTGGCTCACGCGAAACTGTGTAATGACATCCACTGTAAGGAAGACGCTGGCAAAGATCGCAATCGGAAGGTCGAAGATGGGAATTTCTCCCATTTCTGCAAAACTTTCTGTAGATGCTAACAGTAATTCTCACGGTATGGCGCAGTAAGGCCTACTGAAGTATCAAGTGAACGACGCTCAGTACTTTTGAGTTGCTACTACGTCACTGTAGTAACTGACACTTACAGATGGGCTACACCGGAAAAACCAGAACTTTATGATTAGATAGCTAAAACACTTCGTTAACACTGCCAATCCGTTCAACGTTGGCGACTACTAACATTACTGAACAACTAACCTTGAACCTGTTTAAATACGACCGAAAAATTTCTAAATATTTGCTTATTCGTCTGAATTGCTAAACTAATTTATAAATTTTACCTATTTTAGCTTCACATACCGTGATGCAAGGAAGCCGTTATGGATTTCTCGGCCACCATTATGGTGGTTTTTACCGATTCCCATGACAGTTGCTCATGGAGGTAGCTGTGGCAGGCTTTCTCCAGAATCTGCATCCCAGAGCGTCTGCGTCCACTTCGGCGCAAATGAACGTGACATTGTCAACCTCCGCTCGCACGAACACACGGCAACCGACATTGAACTGATACCCATTAAGCATCGTATGTGACGTTCCTGTGCAGTGGAACTGAAATTTATCGGGCGCAGCCCACCTGCTCAGCTGACAGCTGGCATTGCACGGATCCCCGGGGCCGAGCGTTATCTGGCAAGTGGGAATCAGGAACTTGACCATAAGATTCACATCACGAAGGATATGCGCCTTGTCGAAAGCGATGACATGCTTCTTGTACACGTGTCCGCTTGCTTTACAAAAAAAGCTGCCTTGATCGTCTGCCGCCGGTGGTTGGGCGATAAGCTGACCCCCCGACGCAAGGCGGCGTTCAGGTGAAGTGGTTTGGTTTGGCTGATCCAGACTTACAGCGCAGAACATGCAGTGCAAATCCGCAAGGAAGGTAGCGGGACGAAAAACCAACGGTCTGCCGGGTTCGTCCTGCAGTGCCGCGTGCACTGCCGTATTGCGATGAAGTCTGTGATGGAATAAAGCGTGATGCGGCCACAAATATTTCGAATGTATCCATTCGCCTTGGACTGTGCTGGCGTCAAAGTCAACGAAGAACGTGTCACCAGCAATATCCTGCACGTATCCCAGCCACCACTGGTCGCGCTGCACCAGCAAGGTGTTTCCGTAGTTCAGTTGACGCGCACCCGAGCGCAGCTCCCGATAATAGCGTAATGTTGGAGTGGGGGCCATGTCGCTGTGCGCACTAGAGCAAATCCCAGTGTAACTACGCTGCTCAACGGAATTGGTCGTTTTCGTTAAATTTCCGGTAGTAAAACATTACTTTGCGGATGGGCCGATGAAATTCAGCTAGCTCAGGTGTATGATGCGCTGAAACGGCAAAAAAACTTGGATATTACCTTTAGTGAGCCACCCAACCAATTGGCCAAATATATCAAACTGCCGGCAATACAAACCGATGGTCCTATGCGACATCCGGTTGATTGACCTTGTCATTAACCAGCAAAAGAATATATGTAGTGAACTACATAATCCGGCAGCCCTAACCCACCTGAGCGCAGGGGCCAGATTTGTGACTAGCATCATCCGATTCAGACAGACTCATTATGTACATAGATGAAGAGATAATAGAGAAAAGTCTGCGCTTGCTTTGGCAGTTGGCAGGCAAGAGAATATCCAGACAACCAGAATCACAGAGACGGCGCAGCGCCTCTGCGGACAGGCGTCTGACCGAGTTCAAATGTTTCAAACATATTTGATCCATTTCGTGATCTTGAACGTATCATCGTTACTAGCGGCCACAGTGCTCTACAATTTGTCAGTGACAATAATTACAACTGAGCGCCATCAGTTTCGCTAGGAAATGAGTCGAATGACTGAAATTCGTCAGTGCTTTTGCCAGTAATTTTTTAACCGTCATGAATGCGAAACCACGGTACTTTCGCGAATTACATTCGCGAGATGTACGGCAGATGAATTACGGGAACACTGTGCTGGTGCAGCGCGACAACGGTCAGTGGTGGCTGGGATACGTTCAAGATATTGACGGCGATCAGTTTCTCGTTGACTTCGACTCTATCACAACCAACGGAGAATGGATTCTGTGGCGTAGTGTAGTGGCACTATGTCACGAGATACTGTCTCCGCTGTGACCTGTGTGTCCAGCATGGCAACTGCGGAAGCAGTGTGCCTGTGTTGCTATGTTGCCGATAATTATTTGGTTTTGTGCGCCCTCAGTGGCGGGTTAATATTAAAGATATTACGCCACCTTCAAGTCGTGACAGATTCATTCTCAGAATCTCTGGCCACATCATTTCTACGACGGCCTTTCTGCAGGTGGCGCTGCGTGACGGCGATAATGGACCGTTGGTCTTCCGACCGGCGATCGATTTCAGATATCTGTCAGGCATGTTCTACTCTGTACGCTCGGACAATCGAGAGCCAGATTGTGTTGTGCACGGGTCACAGTTTGTCGAACACGTGCCGCCACCCGGTAGAGAACCGAGCTTCTTCGCCAGAACCAGCGGCTTCATGTACCGGAAACGAGTGATCCGCTTCGAGAGGGCGCACCGCTTGCGTGGAGTGCATTTAATGCCTAAGTTTCTGCACCGTTCATGCCGGTTGACGTCGGGCAGTGGCGACGGTCCGTGTAATGCCAGCTGCCCTTTTGCAAGAATCATATCGACACCTTTATTTTCTTCTGCGCCGGAAATCACCGCGCGCAGGATGATGCACTGTATCGTTTTAATGTCGGTTGCCGCGCTTTCGTGCGAGCGGAAACGGAAACGGTCACGTTTGTTTGCGCGGAAGTGCATAACGTCGCAAGCGGGCGAAGCTTATTTTGGAATGAAGATGCCCTAAAAGAAGCCTGCCAAAATTACTTAAGCGAGCAAGAATCCGGTTGCGTTATCGTGGACGACTGGGCCAAACGACTGCTCGAGCACGGTAAGGGCATCAAGACATACTCTGTAGTCTCACATAAGTTAAATATAAGTGCAATACTTGCAATAAAATTGAATAAATGGCAATTAAATGCATAAACAACCTTGCACCACCAAATGTGGCGCTTTGGTTAGTACTTACATTAGTCTGCAGTTGCGCATCCATACATACATACATACTAAAGCGTATGAATGTTGTCTAAGCGGTTCACCGTGTGTGACCACCTGTTCTGACCAGCTCACCATGAGCGTAGCATGACTAGACACATTTATCGGAAGATGCCCATTCTGTTTCTAAACCTGATTTTAGTTTTGGTCTTTCGTCCGTTTGTACGAGACGTACTAATAAAGTTAGGCGGGTTCTGGCCGCACAGTGAATTGGTGTTTCTCGATTCTGGTAATTGTCGTATATGTAATACGCTTTCATATGATAATAATACAGTAATAACACAAAGTCTCAGATTCTCGTACCCAGCTGGTAATCGTCCTAAATCATCATTATTATCGCACACCACAACGCATGACCTTTTGCGCTTAGCAACATCATACACTACATCTCCTTCCCCCGATAAAAAAAAATTATTTTGCATATCTGTATCGTATTGGCTCTACTCCCTTATTCGCTCTCGCTGACACACGCAATGGAGGAGCAGGGTTCGCTGTAGCAGGCACTGCTACTGCAGGAAGTTCTGTGTTCAGAGCTGGATCCGGCTGTGGTCGGATGACAGGCTCTGTAATGGCAGGTTGCTCGTCACGCTGTGGCATTTCCGATATCATCGCTTTTGGAACTGTTGGCGATGTAACGTCGTTGGGCTCAGCTGCAGTACGCCATTCACGCGGCCTGATCTGGTCTTCGTGGCGGAACCACTCTTGGCCGTCGACGGTAACTGTCCATTGACGATTTCCCTTCTTAGACCGCAGCTGGCCGGGTGTCCAATGGGTTTTAGGACCGTGGCGAAAATCACGTACTAACACCAACTGTCTGCCATTGAAGTTTTTCGCTTTGGCATGCTGATCGAAATTACGTTTATGACGGTCCATGTTGGCTTGCCGTGTCTCGTTCGCGTCTGGATGTATCAAATCCAGCGCTGTGCGCATTCGCCGTTTAAGGAACAACTCATCTGGCGCACTTCCGGTGGTGGCTTGCGGTGTCGTACGATACCTGAATAGGTATTTCCGCAGAGCATCATCGATGTTGGCATTGTTGTCAGCCAACATCTTGGTCATGGCGTCCTTGAATGCGCCGACATAACGTTCCGCCTGCCCGTTCGATTGCGGGTGTCCAGGCGCCGTGCGCAGGTGTGCAATCCCGTTTGCTTTGCAGTAGTCTGCAAACTCGGCACTGGTGAACTGCGGCCCATTATCCGTCACCAGCTGCTTCGGGTATCCGAAACGGCCACACAAGTGCTCCAGCACGGCAATCACGTCGCCGGACTGCGTCCGCCGCATCTTGACGACTTCCGGCCACTTAGAAATGCTGTTCACAATCACGAGAAACATCTCGTTATGGAACGGGCCCGCGAAGTCCATATGCACGCGCTGCCACGGATTCTCGGCAACTGGCCACTGCTGCAACGGCACTTTCGGCGTTTCTTTTGCCACCATACTGCAGGCAGGGCAATTCTTCGCCAGTCGCTCGATGTCTGCGTCCAACCCAGGCCACCAGAAATGACTTCTGGCCTGCGCCTTCATACGCACCATGCCGGCATGTGTCGCGTGCAAGTGTTTCAGCAGCGCTGGCTGGAGGGACGTCGGAATGACCGTCCTCGCTCCCCACAGGATACACCCAGCAACCACGGACAGCTGAAGCCGCCGTTGGTGGTACGGTTGGAGGTCCGGCGCCGCTTTGTCTGGCCATTCAGTTAGCACCAGGTGACGGCACCGCGCTAACACACGGTTGTAGCCGGCAGAACTGTTAACATGTTAACGGTTAACGCATTAACATGTGTGCCGGGCGAGAATGTTAACGTTAACATTCCAGCCGGGCCCAAATGTTAACGACCAAAATCATGCAAGCGTTTTATTAATGTTCAGCACAATGTGAGTCCTTAATTTACTTGTGCATCTTTAATGTGTAGTAAATTGTTATTTCATTCTGGAGATTGTGAATGCATCTATTTGCAGAGTAAAACCTTGTACGCACCTATTAAAACTGCAAGTTAACTGAATAGCTTGGCCACCGAAGTCGGGACGGTGATACGTCCGGAAAAGGCGCGATACGAGCGACATAGTATCTTTGCCAGCGAATTAGCATCGAAGTCCAGCGCGGGAACGCGTCCTCTGCCATGGGAACAGCATCAGCATCGGGAAATTTAGATGAAATATGTATTCTTCTTTATTGGGTCGTTCATTTGCTTTGTAGGCTGAGGCTGTGTAAACAGCACAAATCTACTGTCACAGAAAACTTGTGAACATTTTGTACCGCCAATCTGATTAAAGGTGCCGCCCGAATTAAATGACGCAACAAAGCTTGCATAGATGCCCTATTATTTCAAATTCGTGTAGTGGTATTATTCGGAAGAATATGTAAACTGTAAATATAACTGCACATAGTGCGGTCATTTGTCGAAAATTTCTTTTCCAGAATCTGTTTTTGGCGAAAAAAATACTGAATAGAACAAACTTTGTGTAACGTTATATTTGTGTAACGTGTGGTGTTACATAACAGTTATACCTGGTTTCGATTTCGCCAATAACGGTGTTATAGTTTGCCCGCTGATTGTATTTTATTAAAATTTTTGAAATGAAACCGTTTCGTAAGTGCAGCGTGAAGAGCGATTGTTAATCGAATATTGGTGAAGGTATCGAATATGAACCATTAAATTGTGATTTGTGATTACGTTTTAGCTTCTTTCAAAGTACAGTATACGATCCATTCCAACAAAATGTCTGGGTTTTTTAGCTGAAATGATGTTTTTAAGTGATCTTTTTGGGCCACTAAACCACATGAACTAGCACAGGAGAAAACCCTTCCCATACGTCATATTATATGGAAGCCCAATTTCTCATTGAAAATCGCTTCTGTTGAAGTTCGCACTAGAGTCAACGAGGATGGTGGTGAAAACAGTGACCTTAACCCGCGTACCGGGCCGATGGCACAATCTTAAAAGAATCAATAATGCCGATAATGATGGCATTAACAGTTTAACACGAGTGCCGGGCTAGAATGTTAACGGCGTTAACATTCCCGCCAGGCTGGCATGTTAACGCGGCGTTAACATGCCAGTCTGGCGGAATGTTAACGCCGATTCAACCAGCACGCGTTAACGGCGTTAATAACGCCGTTAACACGTGCCGGGCTGGGATATTAATGGTGTTAACACACGTGTCAGCGGTTTTTACTGAATGTCAGATATTTACCTAATGCGATATTGAATACGATGGATTCAGTACGATGTTGCCTTCAATGCACTGCTTTAAAAGATTATTAAAATTTTAAAATTAACACAACTGTTCACATAGCTATACATAATCTACTTTACAGTGGTTTTGAATTACCATCGTAAAAATTAAAGTGATTATTCAGTAAGGAGTGGCTATTCGTAAAAGCATACAACAAAACGTGCTGGGCTAGCAAAGTTTGGCGATGCTGTGAATTGTTAAGAGTTGGATCATGCGGCCTTATACCGACTGTCTGTTGCAAGACGACACAAAGGCATTTGCCGCTGTTAAAAGGTTGAAAATTGCGCTGTTGTCGTATGTAGTCGTTCTGTATAGACAGTATGAGATTAAGAAGAGCAAAATTATGTGAGTGTAGGAACAAACGCATCGAATAAGGAGAGAGGATCACAGAGCAGTGCTAATAAATCGGTAGAGACTCTGTCTCTTTGGTGTGCCTATGCTGTCTTGCTCTGTTATATGAGATTCCAGCACAGCTCTATCAGCATCTTGTTGTGAGCATGCCGCTGCCCGAGATCAGCTGCGCGATTGAATGAAAATATTTTTACATATAAGATAAGAGAGAAATGAAAGAGACATGGAGGATGCGAGTGCGAACACCATTCAAAGCTTGCAATAACAAAAATATCATCATATTAAAGGGATGGTGATATTTGCTTTGCAAAAACCATCAAATTTCTAAATAAAGTGGACGTTTTGGACGGTTTTTAATGTTTGAAATGTTGTCTTGATAAGTACAGTGTGTCTTTCTTAAGCATGAAAAGGCCGGCTTTTTTGCTGTTTGTTACAACTTACAAATTAATGTTAAAGTCTCCGTAGCGGTATGTATCAATTCCCTTTTCATGTTCCATACGCGCTTAATGGCTCTGCAGCTGGTGCCGGGATGCCGCATCCACCCGGTATGGCCGTAGGGCCGCCAGCAGTGCCTGTCGGACCTTTCACACCTCAAGTTTATTTTCCATTTACGGCGGCACCGCTTCCATCCACCAACCATCAACATTTTGGCTCTCTTTGCTGCGCAAATGCTGTTTTTTCTGGAGGGGTTCCACCGGGTTTTCCACTGTATCCATTCAGCCACGCTGTGCAACATCAGTGCCACGCACAGGCGGCCCCCACGGTGACCGTCGCGCAGCATACTGGGAGTGGGGCCCAGCAGATAATACCAAACCCCGACGTTGCAAAAGTAGCAGTTGCCGTTCCCAACAGTAATGACGTAAGAACATAAATCCCTTTTAGTTAGACATGAAGATTTATTTGCATAATACTATGCATAATATTGCATATGCATAATATTATGCTAACTATTAAGTAACCGAATTGAGTACCATTAAGTAACCGAATGCGAGAAAAGTTAAGAATTGCCTAGATAATTGTTAGCTGCAGAAACTGATTCTATTGTTTTAAACAAGAATAAATTAAGTGAGAAGGAGTTTGGCTGTAGTCAGAGGAAACGCAGCAGCTGCATGTTTTGGTTTCTTTGAGTTCACGTCATAAGATTTTGAATGACAATAATGATTATGGATGTTTTTTCAATGTTTAAAATTTAATAATTTTAATTAATGTAAACTTGCGGGAGCATACCGATATGTGCATTAGATGTTGCCT